TGTCAGACGTGTGGAACGTCACATCCAGGGGTCATTTCGTACAAAAAGAGGTGCAGGAGTTCATTAGCATAGCTCATTAGCATAACTTCTTTGCGTATGCCACACACCCCTGACATCACCGGAAGTGTGGCAGAAGGCAACACCCACCGCTCAGGCTCCACTGGACTGTTTTGGATTGCTAGCTATTGGGGAGGGGGAACGTGCAGATCTGCTCTCACAGAGGAGGGAGAGCTTGTACCTGAATAAAACTTGGTCTTAAAGGTGCCACTGGACTGTTTTTTTGGGGGGCTCTGCAACTTACCTGCTTCGTGCTCTGACTGAGGGCTGCGGAGAGCAGGGGGTGGGGGTTGTTGCATGTGCCCCCCCCCCCGGGCTCTTTACTGCCGGAGCTCCGCTCCTGTGCACTCCTGCAGGAAATGACCCCTTGGCACATCCAATCCACAGCGAGGAAGCCGGAAAGCTCGCTATCCCAGGACGTTAGACGTGCACAACATCCACTTGCAGCAGAACACTGATGAAAACAAGATCCAGTCAAAAGAGTAAACAGGGCAATCAGAGTGGGCGCAAACCACTCCCAACTGGCGGCTGAATTGACAAAACAAGCCAAGTGGTTTACACAGACCTATAAAGAGGGATGCCGTGACCTGGAGGGCCCACGCTAGCCTGATCTCATCGGATCCTGGAGGTTAAGCAGGGTCGGCTGTGGTCAGTACCTGGATGGGAGGCCACCAAGGAAGTCCAGGGCGTTCCTACTAGAGTTGCCAGGTCCTACCTGACTGCTGGTGGGGGGATCCAGACTGCGCTCCAGGATCTTCTGGCGTGCAAGCTTTTTGTCTTCAAAACTATAGAGTTTGCCGAAAAACTAGAGTGTCACCCTCAATGTCCCTGACATGATGACATCACTTCCAGGTGATGTCATTGCGTCTGGGACGTTACCTGGCGATCAGGGGTAATTTCCTGCAGGAGCGCACAGGAGCGGAGCTCCGGCAGTAAAGAGCCCAGGGGGAGGGCACATGCAACAAGCCCCACCCCCTGCTCCCAGCAGCCCTTAGTCAGAGCAAGAAGCAGCCAGGTAAGTTGCAGAGCTCCGCCTGGCCCCCCCAGTCCAAAACAGTCCAGTGGCAACTTTAAGACCAAGTTTTATTCATGTCAAAGCTCTCCCTCCTCTGGGAGGACAGATCTGCACGTTACCCCCCCCCCCAATAGCTAGCAATCCAAAGCAGTCCAGTGGAGCCTGAGCGGTGGGTGTTGCCTTCTGACACATTTCTGGTGATGTCAAGGGGTGTGGCATATGCAAATAAGTTATGCTAATGTGTTATGCTAATGAGTTATGCTAATGAGCTCCTGCACCTCCTTTTCTACGAAATGACCCCTGCTGGCGATGATCCAGTTTGGAGGTGAGGCTTCCCCCACTGGCCAGTGGTGGATGGGAGCCCCCCAAACTAGGGCAACCCTAGTTCCTACACAGAGGCAGGCAAAGGCAAACCACCTCTGCCCACCTCTTGCCTTGAAAACCCTACCTACAGGGTCACCATAAATTGGCTGTGTAAGAGTGTCAGTAGCTTTAGTGTGGTGTTTACACGTCCTTAAGGCAGCTGTACAGCGGTGACCAGAAAGCGGACCAGCAGCATGGATTTCTCAGGGGTTTCTTGCCTGGTGGGTCTAAATGATAGGAACATAAGAGAAGCCACGCTGGATCAGGCTAATGGCCGATCCAGTCCAACACTCTGTGTCACACAATGGCCAAAACCCAGGGGCCATCAGGAGGTCCACCAGCAGGGCCAGAACTCTAGAAACCCTCGCACTGTTGCCCCCCAAGGAAGAAGGAGGAGGAGGTTGGATTTATACCCCACTACCTGAAGGAATCTCAGAGTGACTTACAATCCCTTTCCCTTCCCCTCCCCACAACAGACACCCTGTGAGGTAGGTGGGGCTGAGAGAACCCTGACAGAAACTGCTCTTTTTCAAGAACAGCTCTGACAGAACTGTGGCTTGCCCAAGGTCATCCAGCAGGTGCAAGTGGAGGAGTGGGGAATCAAACTCGGTTCTCCCAGATTAGAGTCCGCGCACTTAACCACTACACCAAACTGGCTCTAAATAAAAGTCTAGTCTGGAGTTATCGACCATATGGTTAATAAATAACCATTTATTACTCTACAACAAATAAGGTGCCACAACAGCGCTCTAGCTGCATCCAGCTGATCCAGTTTCCCTCCTGGAATAGTTCAGTATCGTCTGCTCTGGCTGGCAGAGTAGTTCTCCAGGGCCTTTCCCAACAACTGCTATCTGGGATGCTTGAACTAGGCAAAAGAATAGATTGACACAAATCTGGCATTAAAACTTGTAATATCCAGAAACCAGTGGGTAAATGTTTTCATCTTCCAGGGTACTGAAAGTCATTATTCTCCTACAAAAGAACATCAAAGGGAGAGTCCAACAGGAAACAGTTTTATTAGCATTCATCAAGAAGTTCAACACTGTCACTCTCCCAGGTCTGAATAATAATCTGGTATTTCTTACTCACTGTATGTGCTAATTTCTTAGCGTATTCCACCCATTACAGATGTTAATTAGTTCAACTGTGCCTCTATAATTTTCAAATTGGATCTGCAGATCGTGTTTCACCCTTCACTAGACCCAGGTTACATTAATCCTACTTTGCCTGTCTCTTAACAGTTGGGTGCGGTCCTCATCCACATCATGTGGATTTTGATTGGTTACTGGCCTCTCTTGCTAACATATTCCCACCACCACCATTGTCTGTGGCTTTTAGTATAAATTTGCCTAATGGATCAACACTTTGTGCATCTGATGAAGACAGCTCTGTTTTGTGAAAGTTTATGCAGGAATAAATTTTGTTTAGGAGTCCAGTAGCACCTTAAAGATGGTTATTATTTTCCTGCTACAAACTGATAGCCAGTTTGGTGTAGTGGTTAAGTGTGCAGACTCTAATCTGGGAGAACCGGGTTTGATTCCCCACTCCTCCACTTGCACCTGCTGATGTGACCTTGGGTCAGTCACAAGCTTGAACTAGGCAAAAGAAAAAGAGCAATTTGTGTCAGAGCTCTCTCAGCCCCACCTACCTCACAGGGTGTCTGTTGTGGGGAGGGGAAGGGAAAAGGAGTTTGTAAGCCGCTCTGAGACTCCAAGTGAAGGGCGGGGTATAAATCCAATCTCTTCTTCTTCTGATAAAGCTGCCCATCTGGAATTAACCACAGATGTTAAGAATTGAGCCTGGGGCCTTTGATATGCAAAGCAGATGGTCCGCTAAGGTGCATATAGGAACATGCGAAGATACTTGACCAGGGGTTGCCAACCTCCAGGTGGAGCCTGGAGATCTCTCATTATTATAACCAATTTCCACACAATAGAGATCAGTTCCCCTGAAGAAAATGGTTGCTTTGGAGGATGGGCTATATATGATATTGTACCTTGCTGAGGTCCCTCCCCTCCCCAAACCCCATCCTCCACTGGCTCCAGCCTCAAAATCTCCAGTTCTTTCCCAACCCAGAGCTGGCAACTCCATGACCAAGCATCAGAGCACGGATCCATCCAGCCTGACATTGTCTGACTAGTGGAATTGCAACTCATCTCCAGAAGACAGGGACAGAGTCAACCAGGGCATCCTCAGACCCTCCCCCAGCATTTCACTTATGGACCTAGAGACATTCTTACTACACCCCAGTTCTTGCCCCCAAGATATCTCTCTCTCTCTCTCTCTCTCTCTCTCTCTCTCTCTCTCTCTCTCACACACACACACACACACACACACACACACACACACACCCTACTACACCTATTTACTGATGTAAAAGCCTTTTGGCCATGGTTCTTTTGGTTGAATATATATTTTAAAAAATTCCTAATCCTGTAAGCTACCAATTGTTTTGGGGCCACAGTGGCTCAGAGGTTAAGACGCTGAGTTGCAGACTGGAAGGTCAGTAGCTTGGCAGTTCGCGACCCGAGTGCTGCGTGACGGAGTGAGCTCCCATCTCTGGCTGTAGCTCCTACCAACCTAGCAGTTCGAAAGCAAGAAAATGCAAGTAGATAAATAGGTACCGCTTCAGTGGGAAGGTAACAGCGTTCCCTGCAACTCGACATCTAGTCATGCCGGCCACATGACAATAGAGAAGTCTTCAGACAGCGCTGGCTCTTTGGCTTGGAAACTGAGATGAGCACCGCCCCTAGAGTCAGAGTCAACTGGCTTTTGAGCAAGGGAAACCTTTACCTTTACCAGTTGTTTAGGCTTGCCAGCTCCAGGTTGGAAAACACCTTGAGATTTTGGGGGTGGATCCTGAGGAGGACAGGGTTTTGGGAGGGACCTCAGTAATGCATAATGCCATAGACCCCACCTTCCAAAGTGACCATTTTCTCCAGGGGAACTGATCAGTTGTAATCTTAGGAGATCTCCAGTCACCATCTGGAAGTTGGCAACCCTACCAGTGAGCCATTAAAACATTTCCTCAGCAGTTGCAGTGTTTGAAACGGCAGGCTGTGCCCTGCATGGCGCCTTAGTGTTCATGTGCACACATGGACAAGGATTGCATGCAACAGACAAAGACTTGCCCATTTCCCCACTCGAAGAGATAACCTCTGCAGATCCTGAGGAGGGAAGGAGAGCTGTGGGAGATGCCAACACTTGCTAGAAACATCCCTAAGGCAAAAAGAAAAACCGAGTCCCCGCTTGGACAGGGACCAGGACACAGGGATTAAACAGAGGTGAAGTGTCTGCAGCGAGCCCGGCCTACTTCCTCATGAGCAGCCCCCCAGCCTCCGCGGTCCACCTTCCTTTGACCTTACCGCCAGCCCCAGGTGGAGGGGGCGAGGAGTGGAGCTGGTTCATGTGACGCTCCCAGGTGAGCTGCAGGGGAGGGGCTGGGTGCAGCCCTTACTCGTTCAACCAGTGCGACGGCAGAAAGCTACACCTCAGTGACTCAGGTAGCGCTGCACCTTTAACCTGCCCTACCAGTGCTTAGTGTTTTTTTCCCCTCTGTCTTTCATGCCACCTTGCTGGCGTTGCCTCCCCCGCCCAGTCCACCCACCCTCATTCCAAACAATCTGCTTTCCCTTTGAGCAGATAAACTTTGCTCCTTTTCCTCTCCGTCCAGGTTCTGCAGCTGCCTGCCTACCGGCTTTAGTGGTTTTTGGCATCTCTGCAAGGGGAAAAGAAATACAGACCGCTGTTTCCTCCCCCCCCCCTTCCTTCCCGGTGTGCTGGACCGACGCTTGGCAACTGAGGAAGGACACGGAGGAAGGATCCCCCAGGGGCAGCCGGCCCACCAAGGCAGGGAGCCATGGGCACCTCGGAGGAGGACTACAACTTTGTTTTTAAGGGTGAGTGTCAGTGCTGGGCGGTGTTCCCTCTAAGCTGAGTTAGTGTGAGCTAGCTCACAGTGTTTTTAGCCTCCAGCTCACACATTTATGTCTCAGCTCAGGAAGGAGGGCTCCAGAGCAAACTAATTCATGCAGTAGCCAAATCGCTCGCTCACAGCTTTAATGCCAGTAGCTCACAAAGTAGAATTTTTGCTCACAAGACTCCACAGCTTAGAGGGAACATTGGTGCTGGGTCCTCCTTCCACAGAGGCTGCCTCTGTGCTCTTTTGGAAAGTTGTGCCTCTCAGAGCCGCAGGGGGGGAAAACACCTAGCGTTTATGTACGCTCCTGAGTTTCCCAAAAGATACTTGGAGCTGCGAGAGCTTTCAAAAGCTGCTTGTGGACTGAGCGCATCAGCTTTCGTGAGAAGTTCTGCTGAAGAAAAAAGGCTTCCTGTCTTTTGGAGGATGCACGCCTGTTTCGCTGAGGCTGTCATCGCAGAAGAGGCCTTCCCTCCAGGGTGAGGGGAAAGGCCTCTTCCAGGGTGGTGCTGGACACCTGTGGTTTTCATACGTCCTTATATTAATATGACGTACGTGCTTGAAAAGCTGTGCTGCTACCCATTAGACTGATGGCAAGTTTGGGTTGTTTATAGGGTTGCCAAGTCTGGGTTGGAAAATACCTGGAGACTTTGGGGGTGGAGCCAGGAGAAGGTGTGGTTTGGGGAGGGGAGGGGCCTCAGCATGGCACAATGCCACAGAGTCCACCCTTCAGAGCAGCCATTTTCTCCAGGGGAGCTGATCTCTGTCGGCTGGGGATCAGTGGTGAAAGCAGGAGATCCCCAGGCCCCACCTGGAGGCTGGCAACCCTAGTTGTTTAAAAGGGGTTTTATTGTTGTTGTTGTTGTTTTATTTATTTATATGATTTCTATACCGCCCTCCCCACAATGGGGCTCAGGGCGGTTTACAACAGTTTATAAATACAGTCCTAGCTAGCTAGACAGACAGATTAAAATTTAAAAATAATAAACCAGCAGTAATCACAACTCATTAGACGACGTTAGGCACTGTGCAGCCTCCCTTGGGGGAGGAGACTGGGAGGCCAGGCAAGACGGAAACCGTTGCTGTCCTCAGCCATAGGCCTGGCGGAATATCTCTGTCTTACAGGCCCTGTGGAACTGCACCAGGTCCCTCAGGCGCGCGGATGTCATCCAGCAGAGAGTTCCACCGGGCCGGTGCTAGGTCCGAAAAAGCCCTGGCTCTGGTTGAGGACAGCCGGATATCCTTCAAGCCAGGGATCACCAGGAGGTTTTTATCTCCAGAGGGTAATGCTCTTCGGGGGCTATACTGGGCCGTCCCTTAGATACGCTGGTCCCAGAAGGTTTAGGGCCTTGAACATCAGTACTAGAACCTTGAACCTGATCTGGTACTCAACTTGGAGCCAGTGCAGCTGGCGAAGCACTGGTTGGATATGTGCTGTCGATGGGGTCCCAATAAGGACCCATGCACAGCATTCTGGACAAGTTGTGATTTCCAGATCAGACTCAAGGGCAGCCCTGGGCAGAGCACGTTACAGTAGTCTAGCCTGGAGGTGAACGTTGTGTGGCAACATTGGTAGTGGATAGTCATTACATCCTTTTCAGTGATGGTGCCTTGACTCTGGAACTCCCGCCCCTACACCTGGTTACTCGGCACCAGGGGTCATTTCCTGCAGGAGTGCACAGGAGTGGAGCTCCGGCAGTAAAGAGCCCATGGGGCGGGCACATGCAACAAGCCCTACCCCTTGCTCCCAGCAGCCCTCGGTCAGAGCAAGAAGCAGCCAGGTAAGTTGCAGAGGCTCCCCCTGGTCCAAAACAGTCCAGTGGCACCTTTAAGACCAAGTTTTATTCAGGTACAAGCTCTCCCTCCTCTGCGAGGGCAGGTCTGCACATCCCCCCCCCCCAAATAGCTAGCAATCCAAAACAGTCCAGTGGCGCCTGTGCGGTGGGTGTTGCCTTCTGACAAACTTCCAGTGATGTCAGGGTGTGTGGCATATGCAAATAAGTTATGCTAATAAGTTATGCTAATGAGCTCCTGCACCTCTTTTTCTATGAGATGACCCCTGGTTAAAGGCATACCATCAAGAGCCAGCAGTTTGCACCCTAACCCTGTACCCCACCCCCCAACCACAGAACCTCCATCTTTGAAGGATTCCGTTTCAGCCGGCTCTGCTTCAACCACCCAGCTATGGCCTCTAGACCTTCAGCCAGAATAGATGGGGCGATATCCGGTCGGCCGTCCATCAGCAGATACAGCTGGGTGTCATCAGCGTACTGGTGACAACCCAGCCCATGCCTCCGAGCCAGCTAGGCGAGGGGGTGCATATAGATGTTGAATAACATTGAAGATCACCCCTTGAGGGACCCCACCCACTAGGGGATGTTGGGGCGATACTTTCTCTCCTAGCGCCACCCTCTGTCCCTGACCAAGGAGACATGAGGTGAGCGGCCACTTCAATGAACTCCTGCGTTGGTGAGGCGGTGGGCCAGCAGGTCATGGCGGACCGTGTCCAACGCCGCTGCCAGATCTAATAACAACAGCAGCACCGCCCCGCCCCAATCCAGCTGTCCATGAAGGTCGTCCATGGATCATAATATTTATGGATCATAACAACTGATGGGTCATAATAACTAATAATTAACCCACTAATGTCAGAATTAGACCAACAAGGTTTCTGTGACTGATCAGTTATATTAATACATATAAAGCTTTTGGTCAGCTAAAAACCAAAGTATGATTAATCCAGGAGATCTTCTTCTCCCCCTATTTGAATAGAAGAATTTACAAAAAAATTAGAGTGACAGGCACTATCTTACGAGATGTATTCCCCTTTGTCTCCTGCACAGGAGGGAATGCCTCTTCTGCTCTAAGGCCCTGTGGCATCGTCTAAGAAGAGGCATTCTCTCTGCTGTCTCATACAGGAGGGAATGCCTCTTCTGAGATGGTACCTGCTATCCCACAGGTGGGCATTACCTATGACCAGGCATTCCTCCATTTCTCCTACACTTGGGAATACCTCTTCTATGAAAGTACCTGCTTTGACATGCTCTCGTATTCTCAGAATACAAAGAACAAAGACCCTTTTCCTCAGTATTCTTTCTTTTATTCATATGGACATTTCTGCAGATTTAAGTAATTTATTGGTTATATCGATACAGATGATAGGGATCATATGGGTTGCCTCCTTAAATCTGATCCCAACAGAGGCAGTCACCCATCTTTTTGTTTTTAGTATTAACTTTTTTCCTACCTTGTCTGTTTCATCTTGGTTGCTGTAAAGCAGGGGTGTCAAACTGATATGTTACGAGTGCCGGATCTGACATAAATGTCGCTTTGTCGGGCTGGGCCATGTGTGCCATAAAACGTAATGACAGGTACAGGAAATATAAACTTTATAAAGGACAGCAGCTGGTAAGCTTCAAGTTGGTGTATTCTCACTGCAAGGGCCCATGAGCTGGGTGGGGGTTCCAAAGGAAAGCTTACGGGGCGGACCAGAGAGCTAGCAGTGCAGCACTGTGACCCTCTCACACTGCTTGACAGCTGCAGATGAGGTTGTTCTGCCATTCTGAAGTCATGATCGGAGTGGCTTTGCCCACTCCCCCCGAAGCAGTCTCCTGTTCCCTCCTTTGCACTAGTTGCTTGCAGGCTGCATAAGAACCCTGAACGGGCTGGTTCCGGGCCAATGTTCCCTCTAAGCTGTGTAGTCTTGTGAGCAAAAATTCTGCTTTGTGAGCTACAGGCGTTAAAGTTGTGGGCGAGTGATTTGGCTGCTGCATAAATGAGTTTGCTCTGGAGCCCCATTCTTCCTGAGCCAAGAAAAAAATGTGTGAGCCGGAGGCTAAAAAACTATGAGCTAGCTCACACGAACTCAGCTTAGAGGGAACACTGGTTCCGGCCCCTGGGCCTTATGTTTGACACCCCTGCTGTAAAGCATGCATTCTTTTAAAAAAAAGGTTTTGTTAGGTTGCTACATTGGAGTAGAGCAGCTTGCAACTACGCGGCACCTCTACGGCTTCAGCCGGAAGCCTTGCCACAGCCCCTCTGCTAAGTGAGACCAGAGCGACTTGGCAGAGCTCTTCGGCGCATTCAACACAAGCGAGCTAAGCTCTGCAAGAGATCACCTGCACATCAGTTAGGATTAGAATTTGCAAAAATAACAAAACAAAAAAGAACTGGCTTCAGACCCTGCCGCCCAAGATGGTAATCTTGTTCTGTCGAAACTGGAATGGCTGCTAATGGTGATATTTTTATAATGATCTGAAATTTGTCATCTGTCGCTCAAGATTAGGGGGGGAATGTTATGTCTTTATCTTCACCTTCATGTGGTTCTTTCCTCCCGTTATGTACCCTAAGACACAGAGAAAGAGATTTGCCTGAAAACTGCCACTGAATCCATACTGGAAAGGGGATCTGAACACAGGCGGCCTTATGTTTGACACCCCTGCTGTAAAGCATGCATTCTTTTAAAAAAAAGGTTTTGTTAGGTTGCTACATTGGAGTAGAGCAGCTTGCAACTACGCGGCACCTCTACGGCTTCAGAGGGAAGCCTTGCCACAGCCCCTCTGCTAAGTGAGACCAGAGCGACTTGGCAGAGCTCTTCGGCGCATTCAACACAAGCGAGCTAAGCTCTGCAAGAGATCACCTGCACATCAGTTAGGATTAGAATTTGCAAAAATAACAGAACAAAAAAGAACTGGCTTCAGAGCCTGCCGCCCAAGATGGTAATCTTGTTCTGTCGTAATTGGAATGGCTGCTAATGGTGATATTTTTATAATGATCTGAAATTTGTCATCTGTCGCTCAAGATTAGGGGGGGGAATATTATGTCTTTATCTTCACCTTCATGCGGCTCTTTCCTCCCATTATGTACCCTAACTGCCACTGGAATCCATACTGGAGAGGGGATCTGAACACAGGTCTTTCAAGAATCATGCAGATCTTTGCTATTCTCATTAGCCAATCAACAGTTGAGACCAGAGAATTC